CCCAGCGGAGCGGCTCTCCACGGGGCCGTGTATCATGGCAGGACACCGAAATCAAGCCGAGACGCCGCTGAAGGTGCTTTCAGATTGGGCTGAACTCAATCCCTCCACACGGGCCTCTCTGCCACATTAGTGTCCAGCTCTCAATGTTTTAATGAAGCTCATAATCACCATGTCTTCCAAACGTCCCACCAGTTTTCATGCCTGCTTTTTCATTTCTATTAAAATCACATTTTGCAATATATTCAGGGAATTACAGGTCAAATTTGGTCTTCAATGTAAGATATTTTATATTTATTCAGCAATGTTTCATTTAACTGTAAAACTGTTGAGTTACCAGTCTTTTCTGCATTTTTTTCTCACTCATATACACATGTACAGTTGTATTTTTGTCCATCTCTGGGTGTTCTTATTAATAAATTTCACATTTTTAAACTTTCCTTTTAAATTACTGTTGCCCATGATGCTACAGTAATTATTCTGCATGCATTAAAGCAGTTTGCATTTTCAGCCCATTTTGGATTCATTTCAATCCAGCATTAAAGTAATTTATGAAATATAGATGAGTTAAAAACAGCCCAGCATGTTGGGTCAAACATTTCATCCAAAAACATCTCATTAAAGCATATCTTAATCTCTAATTCATATTTTTGTTTGAACTTTTTTTTGCATAGAAATGTAAAAACAATGTGATTTTGATTAAAAAAAAATCATAAAACTTTAAAAATAAAATGAAAACGGAAAATATAAAAATAAAAATGTATAACTTGAGGTAGCAAAATAACTGTACCAAAATAACTAAAACTATAATAAAATTAATAAAAAAAACTAAAGATAACTAAAACTATACAGAAAAACTTGAACTAAAATTAAAATGAAAACAGACAATATATATATATAAAAAAAAAAAAAAGAGTAAATCTATAATAGTAGATAAATAAAATATCACTGAAATAACACTGTCTGGAGCAGAGATGCCAAAACGTTTTAATATGAAGGGCCAAAAATCAAACTTGATTGAGGGCTATGGGCCAAAAGTAAATGATGCATTATATCCAACTATATTATATTAAAATTTATTACACAAAAATAAACAAACAAATTAATAATTAAAAATATAATGCATTTTTCAATATATTTAAAATGATTTTATATTTGATTAAAAATAACTATTTAAAAATTGTTTCATTTTTAAAAAATGTTTAAAATGTAATACATTTTAATATAATATAGTTGGATATAATGCAACATTTACTTCTGTTCCACGGTCCTCAATTCATATTAAAAACTTTGGGCACCTCTGGTCTAGCTCAAATTTAACTGCTAGTTGCTAGGCAACCATACATCCCATAAATCCTCAAATTACACAAAATGCAATTAGCCACATATCCTTCATGCATATAAAGTTTGCTGAGTTTTCACCATGGGAATATAAAGCTCTAGCTGTTCAAACAGGCATTAATAATGACAAGCAATGGGAAGTTAATGGGATAAAAATGCTCTTCAATTAAATGCACAACATGTTACATGACACGTTCTGACACAGAAAGCATCTGGAAAACCACAGTTTCAAAGCACATGCGGGCGATCCTGCTGTCTCTCTCAGATTAATGATGTTTCGAGGCTTTTCCCAGCGTCGCTACAAGCATGTAATATAATATTCAGTCCTGCAGCACAAACACTGACAGCAGAACTGAACACAGTTCTGTTCTTCTGTTCTTATAAAACTCAGGCCAAACCCAGCCATTTCTCATTCTCTGACCTGATTTATTGCACAGCGGCAGCTGACGGCCTTCAGAAGAGGGTCACTTATTTCCTAAAAGGCCATTTAAAAAGAGCAAAGGGAAAGATGAAATCAGAGAATAATATTACCCGCAGACCCATCTGATATTTGATGGCTGTCTGCTCCATGCATCACTATCAGTCCCGTCTGACCACAAATGAAAATATCTGACGGTCCTGAACACACTCTCACAAAGAAAAGGTACTGATATGTACACGTTATGTACGAATATGTATCTTTAAGATACTAATATGCACCCATTAGGGGTAAATAACTAAGATGGACCTTTTGAAACTGTACCACCTCAGTGACAGATTTTGTACCTTTTTGAGTGTAATATCTTTCATTAATAACATAAACATAAACGTTATTTCATTATGTTAAACTAGTGTTGATCTAGTTTCTCAGCTGTGCATCCCTCATTAGATTAATCAGGCCAGAGTTATTATAGGTAATTAAAACTAAAACTTTAACCATACACAAAAGCTTTTTTGTTAAAAAAAAATCCTATTTATTTCAACTAGTTGCCAAGGCAACATTTGTCATTTTCATTTAGTTTAACTTGATGTGCCAAAAAAATGTATAAAAACTATGTAGACACACACTCACTCTCTCTCTCTCTCACACACACACACACACACACACACACACACACACTCACACACACACTTACACACACACATACACATACACACACACTCTCTCACACACACTCACACCCACACCCACACTCACTTACAGTTGCAAGAAAAAGTAAGTGAACCATTGTCAATTTTCTGAATTTCTGCTTAAATTGGTCATGAACTTCGATTTGATTTTCACCAAAGTCACAAATATCAACAAACACAATATTTCTAAGCTGATAAAACACAAACAAACATCATCTTTCATGTCTTTATTGAGCTCACTTAAAGTGAGCATACAAAGTAATGGTGGAAAAGTAAGTGAAACAGTAGGCTTCTGGTGTCACTAAAAGCCAATTGGAGTCAGATGTTAGCAAACCAGGAGTCCAATCAATGAAATAAGAATAAAGGTGTGATTTAGAGCTAAACTGACTTATATAAACACCCAAACAGTGTCAGTATGCTATTCACAAGCAGCATTAGCTGATGCCTCTCAAAACAAAAGAGATCTCAGAAGACCTACGATCAAGAGATGTTGATATGCATGTAGCTGGAAAGGGTTACAGAGCAATCTCAAAGACTTTAGATATTCACCAGTCCACAGTTAGACAAACTGTCAGACTATGAAGACGATATGGTACTGTGGCTACACTCCTTGCCATTGTGGAGCGGAAAATGAATTCCCAAGTTCATCAGGATAATCCCAAGGTGGCTGTCCGCAAGATGAAGCTCAGAAGAAGCTGGATAATAACCCTAAACATCGAAGTAAATCTACTACAGAATGGCTTTGGAGACATAAAATCCACCTTTTGGAGTGGCTCAGTCAAGCCCAGACCTCAACCCAATAGAGATGCTGTGGAATGACCTCAAGAGAGCCATTCACACCAGAATATGGGCGAGCTGAAGCAATTCTGAAAGGAATAAAGGTCCAAAATGACTCCTGGACATTGTTCAGGTCTAATACACAGCTACAGGAAGCGCTTGCTTGAGGTTATTGCTGCCAAAAGTGGTTCAACCAGTGATTAAAGCAGTTATTCACTTACTTTTCCACCATCACTTTGTATTTTTAATGGGTGTGTTCAATAAAGACATGAAAGTCATAACTGTTTGTGTTTTATCAGCTTAGAAATATTGTGTTTGTTGATATTTGTGACTTTGGTGAAGATCAGATCACATTTCATGACCAATTTAAGCAGAAAACCAGGAGATTGAAAATAGTTAACTTACTTTTTCTTGCAACTGTATGTATGTATATATATATAACCTGATTCAAAATATTACTAAAAACTATAATAGTATCTCAATGATACTAAAACAACACTGTCTAGAATCAAACTTGATTGAGGGTCATTGGCCAAAAGTAAATGTTGCATTATATTTAATTGTTTAAAAATGTTTAAAATGTAATATTTTATTTAAATATAATATATTTGGTTAACTATATTATATTTAAATAAAATATTACATTTTAAACATTTTTAAACAATTTAAAAAAATTATTTGGACATTATTTTTTAAATATTATTGTAATTATTTTGTAATTTTTTTTTATTATTTCAGTTATATTTTTAAAATTTCACTGCAAAAAATAAATAAATAAATAAATAAACAACATACGAAATAGTTTTTAAAAATTAATTAAATTCACTTATATTGTTTAAAAAAAAAAAAAAAGTTAAAACAAAAATATATTTCAATGGCATGTTTTTTTCCCTATGTCTTCCCTCCTCTTATGATATTGCATGGTGGGCCAAATCAAAGATCAGCTTTTGGTTTAGGCATCTCTGCACTAGTGAATTAACCAAGGTTGTTTCATTTGACAGTACAGGATATTTAGGAAATACCTAAAACATTTTAAAGACTTTAAAGAGCCCACAGATGAAGTAAATCTGCGGTTCCTTCATGGGCTACGGACAGACTACCACACATGAGCGACTATTAAAGCTCATTCTGCTTCACAACTCAGATCTGATACTGATCTTTATGGTCAATAAAAATCTCCTTGAAATCATACATTGAAGTGTATTCATATTACCATGAATGTTGCTGCTCAGAACAGCTCATGAGACGTAATAGAGATCCATCTCTTTCTTACCTTTTTATAATCTGAAGAACCTTCTTTCGCCACAAAGAAGCTTTTGTGAAACAGAAAGGTTCTTCAGATGTTATGGAACCATTTAGACAAAAAAAAGGTTCTTCCATGGCATCGTGAAGCACCTTTATTTTTAAGAGTGCATGAGTCCTTCACAGCAGCAGAAGAGTCTCTGTTAAATTAATTAACTGCTATGGTCCAGATTAATGGAAAAATTATAATAAGTGTAATTACTTAAGGCCTCCTTAAGCAGTAAATCTCAGCCGGCCTCGTTTCAGATAACGAGAGCGCAGGGTAATTAGAGCGGCTGAATTACCCAGGGTTCTGTGTTGATTTCAATCTCTCACTGTACTTACATCTGACAGCAGCGGCTCGACGGCTCGTTTCACACCAATCTGTCATCATCCGATAATTCATTTATTCGTACAAGCCCCGCTCTGAAGGAACTCTTCTTTTACTACGGTACATACAGACATGGATAATGCATGTGAACTGGTTGTCTTACCTTCCCAAAGCTCCCTTTCCCGATGGCCCGCAGAATCTGGAAGTGATCGAAGTTCACTACAAAAGTAAAAGAAGGAAAAGAGTAGATTAACAAAAGTAGATGCAAGAAAATCAAAGTGTTTCTTCACCAAAAAAACAGTCAGTTCTGTCATCATTTACAAGAGTCATGTGAATATACCCATAGGAAAAATTTATTGCTCAGTGGTTGCTTTTCCAAAGCTCAGGAGACTTAGAAGAGATTCTCCTATATCTCTCATTTTAGTATCAACAGCATACTATCAAAATTCCTTAGGAGAAATAGAAGTAGACACAAATGAGACATGAGGTCTCAGAATCCTTAGGAGAAATAAAAGTAGAATCCAATATGACAATGAGAGAGAAACGTGTGAGAGACATGGGAGATCTCTTTATTGTCTTGCTGTAATCTCTTGCAAGACTCCATTATAAAAATGTTTTACTGCTCAGAGGTTGCTGTTGCTTTTTTATTGCAATGGGGTTCCCCTTCAGGAACTCGAGCTGCGCCGAGATTCGCTTTGGGAACGCCCCTGCGTGACCGCATTCTGAAGCACGTGTAAAATCAGTCCAATGGAGCAGCGAGACGTCACGAGCGGGGTGACGTGAGCGACAGGAAGTATAAAAGTGCATCCGGCAGAGCGCAAGTTAGCTTCTGCTCTTCAGTAGCGCTCTGTGTATGTGTCAGTCTATTTACTGTTGTCTGTCAGTCCACAAGCATTCAAAAGAATATGTCAAAGTCTAAACTAATATCCATGGCAAGCAAACAGCATTACAGACGTTGTGTGCCTCCCTGCCCACGCTATCTGGCAGCGGGGGATACACACGTTCTGTGTGTTGTTTGTTTAGGAGCAGAGCATGCACGGTCAGCTTTCGAGGGAGCTGATTGTCATCACTGCGAGTTACTCTCGCTGCGTATGATCCGCTCTCGCCTGGCTGTGTTTCTCCATTGGACTGATTTTACACGTGCTTCAGAACGCGGTCATGCAGGGGTGTTCCCAAAGCGAATCTCGACGCAGCGTCTCGTTCCCTCGGGGAACCATGGTTACATACGTAACCTAGAGACGTTTTTCAGCTTTAATGGTCAGGACAGTAGGAGTAGAGACAGGAAACAATAAACTCAAAAGATTAAACATTTTAGTGCACAAACAAAAAAACAACAAAAGAAAGTCAGAATTGTGAGAAAAATTACAATTACCTCCATTGATCAGACTGCCAAACATCAAGAAATGTTTACACAAAACTACATTTACATTGCATTTATGTATTTGCCAGATGCTTTTGTTTAAAGAAACTTGCATTGCAGGTGTATTTTTTTTTTTATCTCTTCATGTATTCCCTGAGAATCAAAGCCATGATCTACTGTTTGAGCTTCATCCAAAACTGGATTAAAACTGCAAAATCAGCAGGCATTAATCAGGGGTTTTTCTGTGGTCTGTCAGCATCAGAACCGGCTCAGCTTCAAAAACACACTTCACACAGCGGCGCTATTAGAAATAAACACAGTTTCTGGCAGCAAAACGAGCTGCTGTTTGTTAATCAGAAGAACGCCAGCGTGTGTGAAGTCATGAGAAAACAGAACTCATCGATTCGACCTTTATCCAGCCAGAGTCAGAGCTTCTTTTGAGATCAGCAGAAAAACACCTCAAACAACAGCACATTATTATTATGATATCTACACTGCAACAAATCATTTTCTTCCACTGTATTTTTGTCTTGTTTTGTAGTACAAATATCTAAATATTCTTAAATTAAGATGCATTTACTGGTGAAGCAAAATGACTTAAGATATTGAGTCTTGTTTTATGAGAAAAAGAAAGTGAGTTTTTGCTTGAAAAAAGAAGAAATATCTGCCACTGGGGTCAGAAAAATATTCTTGTTTTCCATTTGTTTATTTTTCTGACCCCACTGACAGATATTTGTTCTTGTTTTAATAATTGTAATCATAAATGTTGCTACTTTTCTTTTCAGAAAACAAGTCATTTTGCATCTCAAGTAAAAGTATCTTGATTTAAAAAAAAGAAAAATAAATATGACGGCTCATCATTTCATTTAATGCTCTTGAAACATATGAGGCCAGTGTAGTTTTAATATGGGACATCAAGTGAAGCTAAATGAAGATGCATTCAGAGTTTCTATTCGAAATATTCAAGCATCAGTGAACAGTCAAAGATATCAGAGCTCATGCGTTCTGATTTCATTAGAAATGTATTTAGTGATCTGCTGAGGTTTTATTCTGGACTGATGTGCTCCAAAAGCCCTTTTTCTGTTTGAAAACTCGTCCATTGATGATAAAGCAGAGTTGTGTGAGAAAGAAATGCTTTCTGATGTGTTTTAACCGCATCCTGAGGCGAGCCATAACACACACACACTCACACACACACACACACACACTCTCTCTCTCTCTCACACACACATACACACACTCTCTCTCTCTCTCTCTCACACACACACGCACACACATACACATACACTCACTCTCTCTCTCTCTCTCACACACACATACACACACTCTCTCTCTCACACTCACACACACACACACACACACTCTCTGATTGAAGAAACACTCAGAAACACACACTCATCCACATGAGAGGACGCGGGTCGCCTCGGGTCACTTCTGAAGATGCGAGAGTCGAGACGCTCTAAGTACTTCCAGCATCTCTTAAGAATCTCATTCTGCAGACGCTTCTTACTTGAACTTCTCATGCGAGCCGTTTCTCCTGTCGACCTGAAGCAATCACTGAACAGATTTCTACTGCCTGACACCTTACAAGTCAAGCGCATTTATTTCTACAGCGCTTCATACTAAACAGATCGTTTCAAAGCAGCTTCATTGTAATAAACAGGAAAATCTCACATTTAAAAAGAACATTTAATATCAAGACGATTAATGTTGTGAAATTCAATTTCAATTCAATTCAATTCATTTCAGTTTCAGCTGTAAAGCAGCTCTACAGAAGACAACAGAGTCATTATTCAGATCAATTCAGTTCAAGTTTGGTTTTTATCCAACAGTGTTGCCAAATCCATAAAATTACTGAATTCATTACAGCAAAATAAAACTAAAACCTTAAACTAATTTTACTTGAAATAAAACAAATGTTTACTGAAATAAAAAACATATTTTAGCTAGTTTCCAAGCAACATTTTCATTTTATTTTAGTTTAACCTGCTGTACTAAAATAACTTAAACTAAAATTGAAATAAAAATTACCTAGACATATTTTTTTTAACTACTAAAATGACAAAAACACACATCAAAATGACTAACACTTTAACTAAAATTAACATGAAAGCAGAAAATATAGAAATAAAAACTAAAATATCAACAAAACTACAACAGTATGTTAATGACAACACTACATTATGTATATTACATTATATTATGTATTATTACATAAGTTTTTAATGTTATGTTTAAATATGAAAATGAGGCATATTTATTATATTAAAAAATATTTAATTAAATATGCACTAATTTGCATATATTTCCAGAACATAAATCTGATTGCTGGATAAAGTGAGGTTCATAATTCTTTGATTTTGTTGTCATATTAGAGTTAAAAGGTTTTTTTTTATATTACTCCATAAATCAGAAAATGCTATCAACAGACAGAAATCAAATACATTTTCACCATGTTTTTAGCAGTAAAATGTCGTATAAATTAGTGTGAAAGAAATATGAACAAACCTTCAGAATATAGAACGGAATAAAACTGTAAAGCTTGCTGAATGTAAGAGAAAAAACTCTTTAAAGATAGAAATCTACAGACAAAAATAGACTACATTTTTGACTAAAGTACATTCACGAACCAGAGTCTGTGGGCAAGTTTACTCTGGCTTTAATACACTTAAAGAAAGACCAGACAAAAACAGCAGTCATTCTGTCGGTCAAATGTGATGACTAACGTTTAGTCATTTGCTTGCTGGAACAGCGTCTGTTTTATTGTATTCCCAGAATGCAATAAAGCCAGACAAACCGTTCCTCTGAGAGCTCTGATTCAAATATTATAGAGATTTAAACGTCATGCACCTGTGATATTAAACACACAACCGCCTCTTCTGTCTCCTATAAACACATTATCCACATTTGTCCTAACGAGACTATGTTCAAATTACAGGAAGTTTCATTTAAAAATAAATCATTTCAGATCATAAGGTTGCACTACAAATAATCTTTATCTGTCAGTTTGCTATGGTTTCCATAGAGTTGTATTTTCTGATGTCAGTAGAATAACATAATGCTTGGTATTTTAATTTAACAAGAATATCAATGGAAGAGCTGCATCTTTTCCTCCTGATTATTTCTCATTTTCATTTAGTTTAATCATATCTAGTAAAATAACTGAAACTAACACTGAAATAAAAATGACTAAAAACTAGACATATTTAAAAGCAAACAAATCTAATAAAAATGGCTAAACACAACAAAATAAACTAGATAAAAAAGTTCATCAAGACAAACTTTAGGTTGGCTTGAGAAAGCCTAGCCTGAAAGTTTAAAGCAGTTGTAAAAGCCTGAAGTTTGAAAATTTAGATAGATTAGATTAGATGATATAGATTAGATGTTGATAACATGTTTCTAGCATGATTAGCATGTTTTTAACATGCATTTTGCTGGCATGATTAACATGTTGCCAGCATGATTAACATGCTACTAGCATGTTGCTAGCATGATTAACAAGTAACTAGCATGTTGCTAGCATGATTAGCAAGTAACTAGCATGTTGCCAGCATGACTAGCAAGTGACTAGGATGTCGCTAGCATGATTAGCAAGTTACTAGCATGTCTCTAGCTTGTTTCTAGCCTGATTAGCATGTTACTAGCATGTTGCTAGCATGATTAGCATGCTACTAGCATGTTGCTAGCATGATTAACAAGTGACTAGCATGTTTATAGCATGATTAACAAGTTACTAGCATGTCGCTAGCATTTTTCTAGCATGATTAGCATGTTACTAACATGTTGCTAGCATGATTAGCAAGAAACTAGCATGTTGTTAGCATGATTAGCAAGTTACTAGCATGTCACTAGCATGTTT